CGCCCCCCGCCTGGCCCGCCGATGGCGTAGAGCAATCCGTTCACCACCGCTCCCCCGACGCGGCTCCGGGCCGTCGTCATCGGCTGGCACTTCTCCCACCGGTTGGCAATGGGATCAAAGACTTCCACCACGTTCAGCGAGTCACCTGCGTAAAAATTTGCTACTCAAATTAAAAGAGGGAGACCTGATACCTCACCGTCCTAACGAGCTCGGCCGCAGCAGAGCCACGGGAGGGGTAAGCAGTTGCTGCTCTGCCCCCAAAGATGGGGGGTGACACGGGGGTTTTGTCTGCTCTTCTCCGGCCAGGATGTATTCCGAAAGGATCGGGGGGGCGTTTTGAAGCCTGCCCGTGCTCTGAGAAGTCCTGAGCTGTGGAAACGGGGCCTGTGGTCACCTCGTAACCTCACCGGGACGGCAGAGACCGGCGGTGTCGCACCTCTGCCCGCGCAGGCAGCTCCTCCACGGGACACGTCGCCGGGACGCGAAGCCCGGGAGGCAGCACCCGGCACGTACCCGCTGCTCAGACGCCCCCCATCCCGGGTTAACCGGGTCATCTGAGGCTCCGGCTGAGCTCAGGGATATCCCAAACTCCCAGATTAAACCTGCCCTGGAGAGTTTCTAGGTGGGAGACGTGAAACTACAGGCGTCGACCCTTCCCTGGAAAGGCCCAAAGCGCTGCAGAGGAGGAGAAACCGCTCGACGTGAGGGAAGTTCCCAAACCCCGGCAAACCACGCCGCTCTGCCCGCTGCGGGGAGCGGACATGCAAGGTACCTGCCGAGTTAAGTCCTCCAACAGCATAAATCAATCCCGCAATCGATGTGCAGCACCGGGGACGGGTCTTGAAGGCCGCGAGGTGCGGTCGGCGCTCTGGCATGAGGTGATAATCTTTCGCCTCGTCAACCAGATCCCTGAAAGCAAACCCAAACAGCGAATGAGCTCGGTCGATGGGATGAAACTCGACTGTCATAGAATCATAGAATCATAGAATGGTTAGGGTTGGAAGGG